TCATATCCTACTCAACATGATATCTACCCCCATGCTTTGTTATCCACAAAACGAAATCCTAACCGCATGATATCTAATTCGCATGCTTGTTCAAAAAAATAAACCTAACCGCATGATATCTAGTTCGCATGCATTTATTCGAAAAAACAAAAATAAATGACTCAAAAAAGCTTTTCCTTGTGTACCCTCCTCACGGGATTCTTAAGGTTCGGGTTTGGCTCAACCTAAGTTCAGGCTCTACGTTTACTATATGCCGAGTTAGGTTCTAAAGTAATAGGTTCTCGAATTGTTCTTGCCGGTGCCCCCTTGAGCTGTCGAACCCTCAATCCTGGCCCATCACAGGCTTTAGGGGATCGAGTTCAATTTCGAGGGAACACACCTCCTTATGTCCATGCGGAGGTGATTACCATCACGAGGACCATAAGGCGTGAGCTCCAGGAGCGATCCACTATCCCATGCGGAGGTGAAAACCACACGAGGGCATAGTCTCTCACTCCTACTTAATTAGGACGGAGCGGGGTTTTAGCTCATGTCATGAAAATGCAACTGTGCAGTGTGTGAGGAAAAGCGAAAAAACACAATAAAAACACTCAAAATTTCCTAAATTCACACAATTAATCTGAAATCATTAGCAAACAAATTAGTACAACTATTTAATTGTTAATTGAATTAAATTAAAGAAATCAAAATACAAACGAAACTTATTAAAAACCAAACAAGGGATCAAAAACCAAATTAAAACGAATTTGTAATTTTCAATTGCAAAGACACTTAATTAATCGACTATCGGCCTGACTCTCTAAAAAAAAAAGTCCCTAGCGGAGTCGCCAAGCTGTCGAAACGATTTTTTTCTTAAAAGGTGAAAAACAAAGGTGAGATTTTAAAAACCACATTAATTCTTAATTATCTCTTTTTAATTTAAAAACAAATGCAATTTAAAAGACCTCTCGTTTCGAAAATTTTTGGATTTCCTTTACGATCGAAAAATACGGTTCGAAGAGTCGCCACCAATCTTTGATAGGGTGTGATTGGGCACCCAAAAATGCTTTATCATTTTAAATAAAAATTAATTTTAATTAAAACAACAAATTGAGGTCTGCGTTACCAAAATCTAAGTTCGGGAGTCGGTTACGTGTGGGGAAGGATTAGCACCCCCACAACGCCCTAAATCGGTACCTAGTCGATTAATTAACGTCTTTGCAATGAACTTTACAAATTCGAACTTAATTTAATTTTTGATCCCATAAAACAATGATGTAAATTTAAAAACATTCAAAAGCACTCAAACAAATTAAATTACCAAGTCGTTTTAGAAAGATAAAGAATGTTCGATTATTTACAAATATCGAGACCAGATCTTAAAGATATAACAACCTTTTCTCGATATATTTAAATAAACGAACATTTCTTTTTCTCTTGTTCCCAAATTTTAGGTGACGAATCAATTTTTTTTGTTTCACTTTCGGGATACACTTTTAATTTAAAATCATTAAAAGCGGACTTCAAATCAGTTATGACAGCCCACTTAAAACAATTTTAAATTAAAAGCATATTACCCTTAATCCAATTATGTAATATGTCGAGTTATGAAAATGAGACTATCATACAAATTATGCAAAAATTGTATGTCATGTAAAAATTAATGGCATCTAACTATATGTGTATGATCAAACATGCTTACATAAACACTTCCTAGACCAATTAATTTAATAACATGCCACAATCGTGCTTAACACACCAAAATACAACCAAGATAAATCACATACAAACTAAAGAAAGCAATGTAACGGCTAAAATAAACATAACAAAAATTAGAGGTTACTAACATGAAATGAAGCAAAATATTATGGCCTAAAATCAACTATTTAAAAAAATATAGGCATTACTATTAAAAAAGGAAACTATGAACATCTAAGGCCATAACGAACCTATATATAAAAAACGAGTAATAAAAAAATGAAATTATAAAACAACAACAAGTCATGCTCAAAAGACTAAAATACACAAGAAATAAAACTAAAGGTTAAATACGGAAATTCATACATAACCCAAAATAACTTTGCTCCAGGACTAAAATACAAATTCACAAAATTACAGCTTAAATGTAAAAACAAAATAGAATCAAAGACAACCTAATCTAGGATGAAAAAAGGAAATACATAAACCTAGAGGACACGAACAGAAACCCAAAAGAAAACAGCCTGAGGACTAAAATATATAACGTGCGTAAAAGTACAAGTCAAATGTATAAACAAGCAGAAACTAAATACATTACCATTTAGGACTGAAATTAAATACGAGTAAAATACAGAGACAAAATTAGAAATATGAAAACATCGATTTAAGGACGAAACTACATGAAATTGAAAATCTAGATGGCCCATATTAAGAATAAACCATGCAGAAACAGGAAACCCTAAATCCCCTAAACGACACCATTTTAATTCGCTAATATATATGTAATTTCATGTGAAAACTAAACCTAGCTTACTTCATCTCTACCAGCCGCATATCTCTCTTCTCCTTTGCCCTCTACTTCTTCGAACCGGCGACCACACAAGGCCACCGTGGCCTCCGCCCTATAGCCACTCCAACGAAGAGCTAAGGTTCCTAAAGAAATACAAGTAAAAACCCCAACTCAAAACAAACTACGCGACCACCTTGAAGAACCCAAGCCACCATGTCTTCTCCTTCTCTAGCCCTCAACCAAAACGAACGACCACCACCTAGAAACTCCGACGAGGGTCTAAATCCGTGTAAGATTTACCTAAATAGCCAACAGGACACAATCTAGCCCTATATCCCAACCTAGCCCCGAAGATACAACCCTTGACACCTAACAAAACCCTCGGCTGAACATTAAAAGTATTACCTTTAGGTGGTTGGATGCTCCCTTAAAGCCAAACGAAACCGGCGACAAATCTCACGCAATGGAGGCCTCGAACTCAGGTAGTAACGATCGAATTCCTCCCTCTTCAATTGTGATGTCGATGACTGAGGATGATTTTTACTGTTTGTTTCTGTTTGATTGTTAAGTTTACTCTATTTTGTTGATCTGTGAGGTTTGTGTTGAGAAAGAATTTCAAATGGAATTATTCTTCAATGCTTTTTGTTTTTTTATTCATTCATGAAAGGAAAAACTCCTTTTACAATAATCCCCTGTTTACAATGCTCTCCTTTGATAATGGTTGATCTCCTTTTTTTTTTTTTTGAAAATTCCTCCTTGTGTTTTCTTTTTTTTTGTCTGTCCTAAAAAAAACCGACCCCCTTCCTTCTGGTGGTTAACTCCCATTAAAACAAACCCCATTTACAGTTTCTTTTTGCTCATGATCATGACCCCATGTTTTTGTAACTCCTGATAACTTCTTATTAACTCCTCATAACCGGTTCTAGTTTCCAGGAAATCTTCATGTGATAGAAGTTGTTCTGTTGGATTTGGGCTTCTAAATGGTTTGGGTTTTTTTGACTTAGCCCCGGATAAATCGAGCATCTACACTATCCGCCATTGTTGAAAGCTTGAGAATAAATCGGATAGAGAAAAACGAAAGGCTTTCTTTATATAAAGTTTGAGTTATTGACGGTAGTCCGCTCGTCGACGTCGTAACTAATTTCGCGGTAAATAAATATGTAAATAACCGACTTTTCATTGTTTACGGATATGTTGTATAGTGTACATTATACACCTTTATTTTAGTAAACGAAAGGCTTTTTTTCTTTCTTTCTATGTTTAGGCTTTCTTTTCTTTTAGTTTTGAATTTAATAATTTTAAGTTTCTTCGTTGATTTTGATTTCTTTATTTTTTATAATTTATTTTTAAATTTTTAGTATTTTTTATATTTACTCTCTTAAAAATTTGAATTAGACTTTTAAGTTTAAAATAACTTTTATTAGAAAAAATTGAATTCGACAAAATAAAAATTAAACACTCAATCATATCATCTTTCATCGTATACTGTCACGTCATTATTATGAATCATTATATTAGTTCCTTAACTTTACATTTTATTCAATTTGAACCACATGCTCATATACCACTATAGAATGCTAATGTAAGTTTAATTCTTATATTTTACTAAAAATGCACTCTATTTTAATCCCTTAACTTTGCATTTTACTCAATTTGTTCTTTTTACTGCAATTGTTTACAAATTCTTTCTTGCTATCAATACACTGACTCGTGTATATTCTCATCAATATTTTATCCTCAAAATACTTTCTTTAAAATAGAATATTATTAATATATTTTATAAGTTTAGATTGAGTTTGATATATTAAATAACATTATAATGTGAAAAAAATGAAATATATATCTTATAGGTTAGAGAAAGTCAAAAAATTGAAATCAATTTTTACCATAATGCTATAAATAATTATAATAAAATTAGTGTAAAAACTCGAATAACTCAACTCAAATTTCTTAAACTCGACTCAACTCAAAAAAATTTTAAGTTAAGTTCAAGTTGTAAAATACGACTTGTCAACTCAAATAATTCAAAAAAAATTTACTCGACTCTATCGAATGCTCACCTATGTTAGCATTATAACGGTCAATTTTCAATTCTGTAATAAAAATATTAAATTATTTTTTTCTAAAAATAATTAAAAAATCATTTTATTTTTTAAAAATATTAAAGATTTTATTTATAATTAAATCAAAAATTAAATATTATTACATGCTATCTTAATGGAATGGGAGTAATAGTGAACTGACAATGATATTTTTTTTTGCTAAAAATATTTTATGATATTTTAATCATTTTTATAATTTGTTTTGAATTTTTAAAAAGTAAATATTATTACTAATGGAATAGAGTAGTAGTGAACTAACAATAATCATTTTTTGCAACTTCGAGAGAAAAGGTGATAAAAAAAATTTCTTGAAGGGCCCAAGTAATAAAAATGGACAACTTCAGGTGTGTAATATTCATTTTACCTAATATTTTAAGAAAGTGGGTCCCACGTCCAACGAATTTTGGCGTCAACAAAATGCTACTGGTCTCGGTCTCCGCATTTAAAATAAAAAAAGAAGCTTATCTAATCCTTCTCGTGTAAATTTCCGATTAATCCTCTCCGATCTCCGATGGCGATCTCTTTGGCGAAGGCGATGAACGGAGAGAGAGCCGTGGTTTTCATCTTCGTCCTCCGTGTTATCTCTTCGCTCCCATTCGCCCTCCTTCCCCACGCGCTCTCACTTTCTGTCCTCTCCCTTTTCTCTCTCGTCGTCGAGATCCGCGTCGACGATTCGGCATCCCTCTTCAAAACCAGGTAAGAAACCCACAAAAAAGGGAAAAAAGATTCTCAATTGGAGAATTAGGGTTTTAGAGAATCTCAATTCGTTAAATTTTTTTTTTTTCGTGTTGAAGTTTGACTTTTTGTTTGTTTTTTAATAGGCCGGGTGCGTCATCAGGAATAATGTTAGGAGCAGTTACGTTACCAACGGTAATGCTCTCCAAGTTGATTCAGCTTTCAAGAGCTGTTTCTTTGCAACAAATTGAGATTGGAGGTACTTCATCTCCGCCTGGAAAAATTGTCTCTTACTTATATTAATAACATGTTCTTGATTAACTAATGAATTCTATAAAGAATTGTAGGGGATATATAAGAAAAGTATGGATTTATTTTGATCTTTGTGTCTTTTAAATATTGTTTATAGAGTTTGAACATATGACAATGCAATTTTGGGCCGCATCGGCTTGTAGCTGCGGTGTACTTATATTCCTCTCCATAGTTACATGGTTTGCTGCCAGCAATAAGAATCCCAGTTTCTCCTGTAGTGTTTGGGATGCGAAGTTTAGCTTAAGCTGTGTCATCTTATATTCAGTGGTTTGCTGTATTTCACTTGCCACAATTTCTCATACTGGTAAGTTAGTTCTATGTTATGAATGTGTCATTGTTTTTAGTTTCATGTATTGGGAAAGCTGTGAAGGTGAAAATTAGCATCAATTTCTTGCATTAACTATTGGTTCCGGTTTTATGCATACAGGATTTAACACAGCTTTAAAGTTACTGTGGTTGCTATGTCATGGATTTGCTGCAGTGAAATTAATTCAACATCTTGTCCATACTTTCCCGTTTTGTGCATCAGTTGGTCTGTTTCATTCTACTTTTTCTTTATCTCAAATTTTATCACCCAAATGCTTCTTACTGAGCAAATGAAAATGTTTTTTTATGTCCCTCCTTATTGCAGGGGAAGCACTTTTGGTGACTTCAGGTCTTGTACTCTATTTTGGTGACATGCTGGCATGTACTATTTCAAAGGTTAGGGCTGCTTTATCACAAAGATAAACCATGTTATGGCAGAAAGCTCCAGCACAATTAGCTTTCTAATGTTAACAACATTGTTAGAACAGGTTTGTAGACTGTTGATTCCACCAGAGATGGTATCCATACGATATGGAATTAAAAGAAGTGAGATAGGCATTATTATCCAGGTATGTAATTTCAAGTGGTGAAATTTTCATAAATGGTCTAAGCTGGATAGTGAGAGATTTGTTCTCTTATATGCAGGGTGTGCTGCTTGGACTTCTTATTTTTTCAGTACTCTTTAAATTTCTTATCTGGTTACGGGAATACTTCTGGGGTGCTAACGATTCTGAATCTAAAGAAAGAAAAGAAATTAGGAGGTCTCTGATATTCTTTACATCCCTTGTGTTTATCATGATTGCCATTGCGCCATCTTGGATGATGATCGTCCTGGATTTTGATGTACATCCTGTATTATGGTAACTTTTCTCAATGGTTTTCTCAATTTGACTTTTAGTAAATTGCTATCTATTAGTATCTTGTTTCCTTGAATTTTATCTATCACCTTTACATTTGGTTTTTGTAATCTAATCTGATATGGAGGTAAGTAAGTGTATGAAGAGGTTTATTTGTGGATATAGATGTTATTTATGGAATTGGCGTTTTTCTTTCATTGGTATTAGATGATACTATGTTGCTCTGGTGCTGGATAGAGAAAAAAAACTGACTATGGCTAACATGTGACTTTAAAGGAATTATTGTTAGAGATGTAGATGGTTTTCTTACTATTCTACCATATTTGGTTCACCTGTTCTGTCTGTTCTCCCATCAACTTTCCAAGCATCTTGCACATCTTCTTTTACAGGATATGCCGGTTTATTTTTTCTGAACCATTTAAAAGACTTTCACTATGTGTATACTGGTTGGCTTTGATACATACATCTGTCTTGAGATTCTACAACATTTCTAAGAATAGTAAGATCGAGAGGATTCTTCTTCGAAAGTACTACCATCTGCTGGCTGTTTCAATGTTTCTTCCCGCCCTTATTTACCAGGTGATTATAGACTTGAGTATCGCATGTCAAACACTTTGCAACCTTTTAGCTCCTTCATTGTGGTAGTTGTTTGTTTAGATATTACATTGACTTCATCTGATCCTGTTTCCAGCCACAATTTCTTGATCTTGCATTTGGTGCAGCTTTGGCTGTTTTCTTGGTATTAGAGATTATTCGAGTAAGTTGGCTAAACTTTTAGATATTTTGTAGATGTTGACAATATATCAAGTAATCATGTTGAGTGAAGTTGCTCTACTTTGTCCAAGTGTTGACTAGTTAAGCATTTTAAAGGATGGTATTTTTGCAAGTATAACAACAATTAATGACCATATCGCAATGATTACAATATACAGGCTAGGTTTATGTTCTTGAATGTACTGGAGTAGTGCTCATTTTTTTAGAAGTTTCTTGGTTGATGTTGCTGAATCTTTCCTTTGTATCCAGGTTTGGAGAATTTGGCCTTTAGGGCATCTTGTACATCAATTTATGAGTGCCTTTATAGATCATCGTGACTCGGATCTTATTATTGTCAGGTATTACATTTGGGCCATTGCTGGAAACTAATATGCATATAATTATTTCAAGCAATTCCAATTAAGGTCCCTGTTTTACTTTTGTAGCCACTTTTCACTCTTGTTGGGATGTGCACTTCCTATCTGGATGTCCTCTGGGTTCAATGATCGACCTCTTACCCCTTTTGCTGGAATTTTAAGCCTTGGAATTGGAGATACGATGGTAAGTATGCTTATTTTTGCCTTTGTGGCCTAAATTTCTTGGATTTGTTCTTTTCTACTTTGTCTTCCATCTCCCTTTCCAATAATTTTGCTAGAGGGCCCTTTACCCGTTTTAATAAAGAATAAAGAAAAATTCACATTATGATCTTAATTTTCACTGTTTGTTGATACCGTGCTTCATGTCACAATGGTTATGTTTTCACTTGCTGCTCTTTCAATTTTCTTTGATGTCAAAAATGGGCGATGTTTTTAAACCTAGACAAGCATTATGAATCCCATGGGAGTCCAGCTTATGAACCAAGCCAGTCCAGAAAGATTGAGAAGGGTGAAGTCTTAGGCTTTTAGCTATTTTTGTGTATTAAGGATTAAAAAAACAGACATCACTCCACCAGTAGTGCCATTATGAACCCCATTGGAGTCCAACTTATGATTGCTGTATTACAGAATAATCTGAAACACTGAATAATTGAGAACTAGTAGTGGAATAAATATGAAAATGTCTACAAAGTGTGATAGAATTGGCCGGCTGCCTGTTACTCCTTCCAAGTGGCTCATAAAGTTGTAATAATCTTGCTTTTATGCTAGGCGTCAATGGTTGGTCACAAGTATGGTGTCCTTAGGTGGAGCAAAACTGGCAGTAAGGATTTTCCTGTCTTCCTTTCTTTCTGTCTACTTTGATTGATCTTTAAGGCTTAAGCTTTCCTTTGAGGACATACCTGCTAATTCTAGCAAATTTCTTACACTTCAGAGAAAACTATCGAAGGCACTGCAGCTGGTATAACATCTGTCCTCGCTGCTTGCTTGGTTCTGGTTCCACTTTTGGCATCCACTGGATACATTCTAACTCAGGTCTCTCTCTCTCTCTCTCACACACACACACACACACATCGCATACACGCACACACATCGCATTCTTATGTTGACTGACATATTCATCATTAGCACGTCTGTGAGAACTTAGCCTATAATGAATTTGTTCACTTAAACATCCTATGTTGGTACTTAATGTTGTTTCTGTTTTTTTTTCTCGTTTTCTTTTAAACGATCTTGTTAAGTTATTTGAATTGGTTTCGTGGGCCTAATTTAATGTTTGGATTATTGTTACATCGCATGTATTTGATTACGTAAATCTCAATTTCCGCAGCACTGGCTCCCTATTTTAATAGCTGTGACCACAAGCGGTCTGTTGGAGGCCTACACAACGCAACTTGATAATGCTTTTATACCACTTGTCTTCTACAGCCTTCTTTGTTTGTAAATGCACACTTCAATCCTTCCAGAAAGATTATTACACGGATGAGAATTCCCCCTCACATGCTTTTCCATCTAGAGGATTTTTTTTTTCTTTTTTATTGTTTTAGTGGATATGTTACTAACAACCATCAGGGAATACAGAGAGCCTGTTGTATACCATGCCAATCGTAGTTTCGAAGAATTGCTTGTAAGACGAGCCTTGATGTTTCATACCTTGTTGTACGTGGCTGTTATGAGCCCTCAAAAAGAGGTAAGATTGTTTAATGTAGTTCATTACATGAATGGAATTATGTTCATTCTTAAGTTGTCCTTGTAATCATATTCTAACATTACTTGAGTAATTCATCTTGCGGTAATCTTGCTGGAATCTACAGCCATTGTAGTAAATCATTGTGCAATGTTATTCATAACATGTATGAAGTTGTGTTTTCATTTATTTGAATCCAACTTTTGCTTCGCTTCCTGCCTTCCATTGGATATCCAAGATGTGCGAAGCCCTGCATCGTGGCATTGGCATTTCACACCCAACCCCTCCATAATAGAGGTAAATAATAAGTCTCCCGTTAACATGAATGCACAAATTTAAATAGCAAATAGCGAATGATTTTGTACGACTTCCGCTGTTCTTTTTATTAAATTAATACATTATAGGATAAACCACTAATTATTTAAAATATCAATTTTAATTTATTTTAGTATCTAAACTTTCAGTTGTTTTAAAATTATATCTAACGTTTAATTTTTGTTTCATTTTAATACTTTAGTGATTTACACGTGACACATTTTTAAGGGTTAATTGCATCACTCATCACTCAATTTTTTTTTCTTATTTTGGTCACTAAAATTTAATTTTTTTTAATTAAATTACTTAACTTTCAAATTAGTCCTAATTCAATCATTATAGCTTTCAAATTTTTTTAATTTTATATTAACAAAACAATAATAAAAAATGTTGTCACAAAATTATTAATAATTTAAAGTAATTAAAATAGGAACAGTTTGAAAATTGAATAGTTAAATTGAACTTTTTTTAACTTTAGTACCGAAATAAAAGAAAAATAATTAAGTGGTGAATGATGTAATTTACTCATAAAAACTATAGTGAAACAAAAACTAAATATCATATATATTTTAAAAAATTAAAAGTTTAAATATTAAAACGAACTAAATGAAAAAAAACATTAGAAAAAATTTTAAAAAAATTAAAATTTTAAGTATCAAAACAGATATAAACATTTAATTAACCTCAAATCATATGATGATAGATAATGCCTACGTCACCCTGTCAAAGTTCAAAATGTTTCAGATAATCTCTAAACTAAATTAGTTTTTTTTTTATCGAACTTCAATCTAGTTTGTCTATAAACGCCAAGACATTGCATTCGTCTGAAACAACACCAAAGTTGAGAATAAAGATAATGAAAAAGAAGCGACTGCAAAAGTAAATATAGATCGAAGATGGAATTCAAACACTACAGAATTTAAAGAGCATAGATATTTTTTTATTGTTCAGAAAACTAGAAACGGTATAAGAAACGAATGAAAACTCGAAATACAGCTTAGGAATGTTAAAAAAATATATGTATGGATCCGACCGACTCACCAGCACAAAGCCTCTATAAAGCTTTTTAAACCCCAAAACAAATAAACCCTCGGTGAACAGAACCCCGAGAAGGTTAAAAAAATAAGCCACGAACACTGATGGCTTCGAACAATAACAAAAGCCCCTCGCTACCCCTGGCTCCATAGGTAGGCTATATAGATTACTCGGCCACCACCACAAGAGAGGTGGCAACTATAAATTGAAAGACATGCTTTTAATTAATGCTTGTTTCAATCAGATAAACCAGCTTTACTCTTGAGATGCTGCTTGAAGTCCATAATGTCACCTCCCCACCGTGTTACAGCTTGATTTTCACACACCCAAATCTCCTCAGCTACCTGGTTTATCAGCCGGAAATCATGACTCACTAGTACCATGCCACCATCCCACTCATTCAATGCCTCGGCCAGCGAATCTATTGTCTCAATATCCAAATGGTTAGTGGGTTCATCCAGCAGCAGTAAGTGGGGTTGTCGAAACGCTAACCATGCAAAGATGACCCGACTCCTCTGTCCATCAGATAGGTTCTTCATTGGCATCACTTGTGCTTTCCCTGTCAATCCAAACTTCCCGATTGAACCTCTCATTTTCTCCTCCTCATTTCCAGGGTACTCTTTTATCATGTATTGGAGCGCAGACATTTCCATGTCGAGTTTCTCTGCCAAATGCTGATGGTATTGTGCAATTCGGAGATGATTATGGCGTCGGACCATACCATCAGTGGGAGTCAATTCACCAGTCATCAGTTTCAGCAGTGTACTCTTCCCCGCTCCATTAGGCCCAACTAGTGCTATCCTCGAGTCCAAGTCTACCCCAAAGTCCAAGTTCTTGTAGATGAGACTATCAGGTGTATACCCAAAAGCCACTTCCACAAACTGCAGTACAGGTGGAGGAAGTTTTCCAACATCAACAAATCGAAAGACCAGAACCTTATCCCTGGCTACCTTCTCCGTGAGTCCACCTCGTTCCATCTTTGCCAATGTTTTTTCTTTACTTTGTGCCTGTCGAGCTAGTTTTGCCGACCCATGACCAAAGCGAGCTATGTACTCCTTCATTGAAGCAATCTGTTCCTGCTCCCATTTGTACTGTTTCATCTGGTTCTCCTCCAACTCAGCACGAGTTTGAACATACTGATCATAGTTCCCAGTGTACAACTTAAGAGTTTTGCTCTGCATATGGATAATATTTGTACAGACTCCATTCAGGAAATCCTGGGAATGGGAGATCACAACAAGGATACGATCAAATTTCTTCAAATTTTCTTCCAACCAGACACAAGCTTCTAAATCTGTTTCAATCAAGGCAATTGTACACATCAGAGTTGAGAAATATAGAGAAAAAGTTCTCTATGTCAAAAAACTTCAATAAGTGAAAGTTGAAACACGGCGCTAAAGACCTACATAAATTATTCATGGGCTATGAAGAAGAAAAAAAAAGAATAATGGGAATCATGAATAATGTCCATGAACTAACCGTATAAATATACATATAAACATAATTTGTACAAAATACATACCTAAATGATTGGTGGGTTCATCAAGGAGAAGAATGGTTGGATTAATGAATAGGGCACGTGCTAATGCAATCCTCATTCTCCAACCACCAGAGAAATCTTGTGTTTTCTTTGCCTGCATCATCTTGTCAAAACCAAGACCAAATAGGATTTCAGCAGCACGTTTCTCAGCAGTTGCTGCATCCAATGCATCTAACCGCTCATAAATGCGTTCAAGTTGCTCTCCACCACCATCATCCTAAAACAAACTCAACATAAACAAGGAAAATGTTATAAAGCTATGTTTTTTATGAAAAATATCATGATTAACACATGGTTAGCTGAATAAACCTGTGCTGCCAACATTTCTGCTTCTTTCTCCAATTTCAACCTCTCTTCATCACAACTCATGACAGCCTCCAAAGCAGACATGTCCGAAGCTTCAATCTCCCTCGTGAGATGATAAATATCCATGTGCTCCGGAATCGGAAGTTCTCGCAATCCTATTGCAGTCAGCAGCGTGGATTTCCCACAACCATTTAATCCAAGCAAACCATAGCGCCTGCAAAGATCATATGAAATAGGAAGTGATATCATGAGATAAAACTCCCAAACCGAATTATACTACGAATATTCCTAAACGAAATGCGAAGGTCATCATACCTGCCATAGTTAAGCTCCAGAGTTGAATCAACAATAAGATCGTGTCCATGGAAAGTAACTGATAAGGACTCTATCTGCAACAAGAAAATATGTTCAACATCAACATAAACTATTCTTTTTTGACACGGTCCCACGGACAAATGACCTTTTACCTCCTACAACGGAACTCATCAAAGATACCAAAAATGTTTACTAATTTGTCTATATTCATAAACAGAAAATCAAATATAAAAAATTCATTCCAACAAAATAAGCCAAAAAGACGAGCTTTACACATTTTTCTACCCCTTAAAATAATTTAGCATAAAAAGAATCAAATACTAACACTTATTCCAATAATCAAAAAACAAATAATTAAAATAACATTTAATCTCACAGATAATGTATCTTTCGACTTACACGAATATCTCTGGAAAGAGGATGCGAGCAGAGAACACCGGTACAGGTCCGATCAGATATCTGGAGCATACTAACTTTATCAGAAACCTTATCAACGCCGTTGTCTGCGATCGCGGTTGCCGCCGCCTTGGAAGATGCAGCGGCTGCGGCCGCCTTCCCACCTCTCTTAGCAGCCGCAGAAGCCTTCTTCTGAGCTGCCTTCTTCTTGCTGGCGTCCGAGACCATCTTCAATCTAACCAACACAACAGATCAAGAGTCACGTAATTAAATGAAATAATAAGTTAAATCTGGAACAATATATCCGTCAGTTGAGGGAAGAAAGGAGAAGGTGAAAATAGATCTGGCGTTTGAACTTACGTATTTTTGGTGCTACAGTGCGTTGCTGGATAGAAACAATTGGATGCTAAAAAAAAATAAATTAGGGTTTGATAGATGGTGAAGCTTTCGGAAGAGAACAGCTATAAGTAAGGTATAGGGAAGGAGCAGGGGACACGTGTACGGTGTATTGCCACCGACTTTGTTTTTAAGCCGACCAGAATCTGCCTCTCATAGCTTCTACCAAACGTTGTCGCTTCAAGGTTAACAATTTCAGCACGTTTTTAGGTCTCACTCTGAATTTAGACGCTTGCTTTAAGTTTATTTGGTATAATGGCAAAAGGCCCTAAATGTTTGTCATATTTTTCAATTACACTCTTTAAAGTTTTTACTCTACTAATTTGAACTTTAAATTTTAAATAAATTCTTTGTATATGGTCAACTAACAGTAAATATTTTTTACTGATTCATAATAAATAATAACATAAAGGATGCAACTGAAAAAAATAAATATTAAGGATTTTTTAGTACTAAACATTATTTGTTAAAATAATATATGATGATTACAATGCCCTAGTATCTATCTATTCATAATCTTTAGGAAGAATATTACTTTTTTCAATATTAATAGTATACACTTTACAAATATAGTTATTCGAACTTATAATCTCTCGAGAAAACATCACTCAATGGATTCAATGATTAAAAATTTTATAAGTAAATCTCTTGCCAATCTACTTGCACAATCTAAGTTCATATTATCTAATAAATATAATGTATAATAATTTTTTTGCGCACTTTTCCTCACTAAATTTTAAAAAAAAACATAATATTTGGTTACTTACGTTTTTATTTAATTAATATGTTATCACTTTTATTTAATTTCTTCACTAACGACAGTTGAAATATCAGTGACTACAAATTTAAAAATTGACAAGGTAAGTGACTACATTTTAATAAATAAAAACAAACATGACACATCTTAATGAAATAAAAACCAAAATGATCAAATATTATGTTTTTTGAATTCAGTGAGGAAAAATTAAAAAAAAATGAAAGTGACTAATCATATAATTTACCCATAAATATATGAGATGTTTGTTTAGATTTTATGTAATTTTATAAAATTGTGTTAGAAGAATCCTCCCTATAATAAACCTCTAACCTATTGCACAATCAAATCTAGATTACTCGACAAATAAATTAGATATCGGTGGTTATAAAATATTATAAAAATGAAGGGAATAAGTCATGTTAAATTAAAATCGAGGGATTAAATCTAAAGTTTAAGGATAATAGATGAACTATACTCAAAATTAACTTCTCTTTCTTGGGCTTTGGAAAGGACATGTTGGACCGGCCCATTGATCTGTTCTCTCTCTTTTTCGCAAAGGCTATAATTGCTATCTCAGTTATGTCTTTCGGATTCTTCTCTTGGCTTGGCCTTTCATTTTTGTGGTAAGTTTGATTTCTTTTTCATATTTTTTGTTTCTTTTGGGTTTTGAAGTTAAAACATATTTTGAGGTGATCTTCATTTCTCCGCTGGTTGAATCTGCCAGTTTGCATATTTTGTCAGAATGTAACATGTTTGATCATTTGCCTCAATGAAAGTTGAACCTTATCTAGCTGTGTAATTTTATATTCTTGGTAAGCCCAAGTTCTATTTTTCTTCTTAATGTTCTGAATTTTGAATCTTTGGTTATTCAAAGTGGTGTTTTCTTTTGATATATTTATATTTGAACATATATTATCTTATATTTATCTCAGATTAAAAAAAATGTGATGTTTTCTTTTGGCTTAATATCAAAGTAAGTGTTCAAATTATACCGTTTTTTCCGAATAGATGCCTAAACTATTTTTTGACTCATCCAATTGTCTAACGTTACAAACGTTACCTCTTTAACATCTAACGCTATAAATGTTATCACTTTAAGTGTTTCGGTTCTAACGTCCTTTAAGTGACTCACAAACTTAAAATTTTAAAATTTTTATTTTTAAAAAATAAAAATTATTATTAAATAATAAAAAAACCTTTCCCCTGTTCCTCTCCCTCCACGCGTGCCCCCTTCCCTCCGTTAATTACCATGGCCAAAGGTCAAACGTTTGATTAAACGGTCAACCAAATGGCCAGTTTCTACGGTAAGCTAAACGGTCGATTATCACGATCTATCAAATGAATTTAAGAGATTGTGTATTTGAGATTTTAGTGATTGAAATTTAAGGATTTAGGAATTTTAGGTTTTAAGATGATATTAAGAGTTGTAAGCGATTAGTAGATAGTCGACAACGTATGGGTGGTCCGTCGTCGGCGAATGGGTGGCCGGAGATGACCAACAGTTAGAATAAATGAGATTAAAATAAGAGATTTTAAGAGAGTGAGTTTTTTTTTGTATTTTAGAAAAAAAATTGAGGTTTTTTCGAAAATAAAATATTTTTAAAGTTTTTTAAAATAAATTTTAAAAATTATCAGATTGTGACACGTGTCATTTAATGGGTTTTTTAACGGCTATTAGAACCGAGACACCTAAAATGGTAACGTCAAGCACCTAAAGTGGTACCATTTATAACATTAGACACCTGGATGTGTCAAAAAATAGTTTAGACACCTATTCGAGAAAATCGATATAGTTTGGACACTTATTTTGGTATTAAGCCTTTTCTTTTATCTGATAAAATAGTGAATTCGTATTTACTTGTGGGTCATTGAGTTTCTGCTCGGGTAACGCCTTGTTTTTCTAAAGGGAAGATATTTTACACGAGGGACCTTAACTGAAAATCTAATGGAGTATGGTATAAAGAACTGATAGCTTTAGTTTATATGGAAAATCGATGTTTTAGTTCTCTTCTTGTGTTGTTTACAATGTTTTGTCTTCTGCTGTTCATTTTGTAGTAGTTCTGAGTTGGAAGATCTCAAACCATGGTGACATAGAATTTGAGCACTTAGGTCTTTATAAGATAGCTTAATTCATACTTGAGGTTAGCATTTGCTTGTTTCTTCTCACATTTTCTCTTCTTTAGGCAAACAAACTACTCAGAGCCATCATTGTATTTCAATCTTCATGATATACTTGTTAATTGCTAGAATTATTCATTTTGGCCAGCAGTAGAGAAAATTGAAGTATTATGTGATTGTTAACTTCTGCTATAATATATAAACTGCAAACTTGATCTTGTTTTATTATGTTAAACAGAATGCCAAAGAGCTCAACAGGATGATAGTGCTGAAGAGGTATGTGCTGAGGCTGTTTATCTCACTCAGCACGTCACAGCAAATGTGGTAGACAGAAATAACGGACGGATAGTTGCAACGGCATCGACAGTCGAACATTCCATCAAGAACTTGTTGGAGTGTGGCCGGTCTTACAACGCCAAGGCAGCAACCATTGTTGGTGAGGTATTGGCTATGCGACTCAAGGTGGAGGGCCTTGAACAAGGACAGGGGAGAGGGGTTCATGTTGACGTAAACAAGGAAGTCGATAAGAAAGGCTTTAGGAACCGATCCAAGGTCTCGGCTGTTGTCGACGATAATGAGGATAATCCATCCTGACCAAGTTTCTTATATAAATAAATGATACTATTCCTCCCTTCTCTAGTTTGATGCAGTAGAAGGAAAAGAAACACATGACAAAATTCTATAAACTATGAAGATCTGACTTCCATAAAAGAAAGAAACTTTAACATTCCTTTTTCTTTTAGTTTATAAGAGAATATCCGTATAAAATTGGCTCTTCTCATGCATGGAAAATGAATCCTTTTCTCTTCTCTTTAATCCATCTTTTCATGAAATCTACTTGTTGCACATGGGATTGAGCTCATGCAATCATCTCTTCTTTTAAAAGGATTCAAAAGACCCTTTAATCACATGGATTCGGAATCTTTAAGTAAATTTCTTTCTCTTTTTATACTATAGAAATTTCAAGGAAGAACCTCATCCATTCATCCATCAAATGATCAAATTCATTTCTTTTTTTTTCTTTGCAATGTCGAACATTATCTTAATAAAAAAAAGATGAAAAGTAGGCAGTAATGAACATGAAACTTGTATAAAAAAACACACACATTAAGATTGCTACATTATCCCACTCTTTTTGGGGTAGGGTCCCCTTAATTTCACAAAGGGAGGCAAAGTACAATTGGGTGGCCATTGGAAGAATGGATGAGACTGCTATATGCTGCATGAAACGGCACATTTAGGCAACATCATGGGATTCATGTACATGCATGACACACACAGCATGACTTTACATGTGCACATGCAAAGAGATAAGCTTTGGGGTTAACTCTACATGTCACTAGATGATGAGTTTCATTGAAAAAGGGGTGAAATGGAATATGTTTGCAGAAGGAAATTGCTTGGGAAACTTGAAGCTCAATACAGCCAATAAAACATTTGATTGAAGGAAAGAAAAAAAGGAACACTAACCCATCATGAACTTGGCTTATAAACAATATACTAAATTGTACCATAGCTTACAACAAGCTGAAGCATTGGCTTATTGGACACTTCCTTGGCGCTCACTGACTGGCTCGTTTGTTTCCCTTTTTAGCCATTTTATTACTATGGTTGATTTACATCAAAGCTAAAATAAAATATTGTTTTCTAGGATTCAGTCCAAGCAACCATGTTTGCAGAATGTATACGTTGTCAATAAATTAAGAATTTTTTTTGAACATATAATATCTTATAATTACATAAAGGATTAGAAAGAGTCGGTTCATATTCCAGGAAAATGATGCAAATTGCCCCTTATCTTGTACATAATTCCTAACCAGGACAGCGAAGAAATTGGTTAACAAATGCCTTGAGGCTGATGACACCTAATAAGAACCACAAAAAGTTAAGGGGTTGATTAACAATGTTCGTAGGCCTGTTTTTTTTTTTTTTGGAATAATGTGGTAGGTCCTGCCCTATGATTTAATGCCAATTTTTATGTTGTGGACTCAAAACTGGCGGGTCTGTGCCAATTCATTTGCCTTCACTATCAGTTACCAGCCATTTATTGGTTCCATAATGGACAAAAGCTTTTGCACTTTCACAAAAACCATGCACATACCGATATTGTTCAATCTTGGAAATTTCTCATATTCTTATACCTTAGCTATTATCTTCAACTAACAAATTTATAAAATTATTTAACATTTTTACTGCAA